TGTGCAGTCCTCCAAGATCTTTACACTTTTATTTATATAATGCCAAATAACAACGGTTGCCTCATGGCACTTTCTATTTTAAGGCAAGACCCTGCTGTAAGGTGGAGAAAACAGAGAAACCCTCAACAATCAGAAGACCCCCTATGAGCAAGTGGTTTGGCAACAGTGGGAAGGAAAAACATCTTTTTAATAGGAAGAACCCTCCAGCAGAAGGGCTTGTGTACACAAAAAGCCTGAAGAAATTCATCATTTTTTTCCCACATGGATGGAGAGCTTTAAAGTTTAATTAATCTGGCCATCACTCCACGAGAAAATCTGCTTTGCAGGTGCTGCAGTTTCACACTCTTAGGTAGCTCTTTACCTGCAGGGAGTTACTGATAACAGATACAACAACATGAAAGTATGACTCAGTCCTGCCTTTCATCAACGGTTCAGAGTGCCGATGATGTAATGGTGTGGTGAATATATTCTTGGCATGCTTTGGGCCCTGTAATACCAACTGAGCATTATGGGGGGGAAAAATCAGCCTACCTAAGCAGGCAACTCTCCATATTGTCAATATGGAGCAGAATTCTTAACAAATAAATCAGTTTTCCATCTGATATATCATACAGACATATGGCTAATATAGCGTAATGGATCTAAATGATCATCAGTTCCAGAAATCTGTTAAATCCCTTTTGGAAAATCTTTTATGAAATGAAGTAACCTTGAAAAATCCCAAAATATACGTGTAAAATCCTTAATCAATTCCAAAGCCCCTACAGCAAAATTTACATGAATTACTAAATAATAACGGAAAACTCGTCTGTTATATTTAAATTTCTTTCCAATTCAACTTTAACATCCACATCCTCCTACTTAAATTAGTGTTGTAGAGCTATGTATGTTTTTAATATTACACTTTTTTAATTTCATCATTATTTGACATTTTTAAATGCTCCACTTTAAATGTCTCTTTACAAAGTTTACATTCATCATGTTAGTGATATTTTATTTCTTGGAACAGGAAACTTTAGTGTACATTGCTCACTTTATTTCACAAACAGCAGTAAATAAAAATGAAATCATCAATCATCAAATGAAAACATAACTAAAATTAAACATTTTACAATCCACCAACTTAAGTATAGAAATAAAAAGTACATTAAAAATGCAAACACCATATTAACTCTGATTACAACTTATCTGATACATAATTTTTTTCTGTAATTTTAAATACACTGAAGTTATTTTCATATGAATTCATATTTGTGTGAGTTTTTTCTGCCAACATTACGACAAAACAGTGGTTAAATATAAACTATATAAGAAATTAATATTGTTTTGCCAAATAAACAGTTTTACCCAAATAACTATTGAAAACAAGACAATCAAAGAAATTAAAGAATACACTTATATCCATAAGGATTCATCTTTAACAGGTGCAGGATAGATAAACACATCTCAACAAGTAGCACACGGCATCAAATTTCACTATTTTATGTTTATTCTCTTCTGAGCTCACACACCTCAGCAGTGTGTCCAGCACTTTGTGGAAGCCACAGTCCAACATGGAGAGGCTGAGTGAACCTGGTCTGGACTCTGTGGAGGAGATTCATGGTCTCAGTGATGCTGTAGAAAGAAAGAGTTCCTGCCCTGTGATCCAAATATACTCCTATTCTGGAGGACAGAGGGCCTGGGATGGGAGTGGGAATATTGTTGTGTTTGAATTCATAACCGCTGCCTGAAACTGTTAATGACCAGGATTTGTCATTCAATCCAAATCCACATTCCTCTCTGGTCCCTCTACGGCCGATATCCTTGTATGCAACAGCTACTCCAACCATCCCGTTGCACTTCACCTCCCAGTAACAGCGTCCAGTCAGATCCTCTCTGCTCAGGACCTGACACCATTCAAGGAATTTGTCTGGATGACTTGGATATGACTGGTTTCTACTCATCAGTGTCACTTTTCTGTTGCTGTCACTCAGTGACAACAGTGTGTGTGCTGTATTTGGATCGAGAGTGATCTGACAAGAATATTTCAAAAAGTCGTGTCTGGTTTTGGGTTCTCCTTGAGGCAGTAAAATATCTGCTTTGGTCGTTCCAACTGAGATTTTTGGCCATTCATCACTGAGAAGAGCCTTCACTTTATCTCTGGTCCGTGACACAGATGCAGTCACATCCTCAAAGTACTGCAGAGTAACATTGTTGCAGGTGGGTACGTTTGTAGATGCACTCAGATGTGACAGCGAGGAGTAGCTTTTCAGAAAATGGAGGTGATCCTCTGTCAGTGAGAGCTGCTGCAGTTCAGTGTCTCTCTGCCTCAGATCTCTGATCTCCTGCTCTATTTTCTCCCGAAGCTCTTTGACTCTGTTCTGTTCAAATGTTTGCTTAGACCTGATCTTCTGCTTCACCTCAGAGCTTTTTTTCTGAATAAGACTGATCAAGTCTTTGAACATCTTCTCAGTTTGCATTAACGCTTTATCAGCAGAAAGATTGATAGCCTCCACTCTTTCATGAAGCGTCTTCACATCTTTCTCTCCGTCCTGAACTCTTTGAAGAAATTTTTGTCGATTTCTTCCAAGCCCTTTCTGCCTCTCAGCTCTTTCTGCTGCAGCTGACACTGTGACATGGTCTTTGTGTTCATCCATTGAGCAGAGATAACAGATACACTGCTGATCAGTGCGGCAGAAGATCTTCATCACCTCATCATGGCGAGGGCAGATGTTCTCCTGAAGCTTTGAAGTGGCTTTGATGAGTTTGTGTTTCTTTATTGGAGCTACGTTGTAGTGAGGCTGGAGGTGCTGCTCACAGTAAGAGGCCATACACACCAGGCAGGACTTGGAGGCTTTCCGCTTCCTCACAGAACAGAAATCACAGGCCACATCTCCAGGTCCAGCAAAGGCATGATCAGGCGAAGCAGCTGGAAGTCCTGCTTTCTTTACATCTTCCACTAACTCAGCAAGCATGCCATTTTTCACCAGGTCAGGTTTCAGTGTGAAAATCTGCCTGCACTGAGGGCAGCTGTGTACTTCCTTCTCATCCCAGCACTTTCTGATGCAGTCCATGCAGTAGTTGTGCCCACAGGGAATAGTGACTGGATCCTTTAGAAGCTGCAGACAGATGGAACAGCTCAGTTTGTCTTGATCTAGCTGAATCAGTTGCTGCGCCATGTCTCCTCACCACGACTGTAAAAGATTTCCTTTCTTTTACCGGATGCAAATATGCACTGAAATTTGAACTCAAGGTCCTTTTGAGGGAAGTCTGTGACATCTCACTTTCAGTTACCAGATAAAAGCTGCTTTCGTTTCTTTGATGTAGACACTGACCTGAGCGTAGGGTGTGACTAATGTCTGAGTGAGCAGTATATAAACTGAGTGGGGCTTAGACACGTGTGCTTTATTCCAGGAAAAGGCCTAGACAGACTGGTCTTGTAATTTGATACAGTACTGTTCTCACCATTTCAGCTGTGCATTTGTTAGTGGGTATTGTGTATATTTTCTATCTAATAAGTATATGGGTTGTGAGTTTTCTGCTAGTTAATGTGAGTTATGTATTTTTATTTAAACAGGAAACCACCCCACTCTAACTGTTGATGGACTCATATAGA